ATCTTTCTCAGTTGCTGGACCAGCTCGAAGCCGACAAAGCGCAAAAGAGTTCGGAATTGCAAATCGCAGTTACGGCAAGGGATGCTGCATTAGCCGAGCAGCAGAAGCTTCAGCGGGAGAATTGCCAATTGCAACAGCAGCTGGAATCCACGAACACCGCACTGCAAGATCAGGTCCCGTGGAATGATATACAGCTGGTGTTGGATCAGGCACACGCAGAGCTGGTTTCCGCGACCACTCGATTCTGGAGCACGATCGACGCCTTCCAGAACAGACGACTGGCATCCTATTTGCCAGGCTCCGGAATGATCCAGGCGGAATGGCCCGATCAGGGCGGCGCGGTTACGCTTGGCCACGATATGCTCCCCAGCATCTCCCAATCGAACAATGACAATGTCCCGCTTGGTACTCAACATGAACTACCTACCACCGACTGAGCTGAGCCCTTCGTCTCACAATTGGGGTGCGTCGATCTGGCTAGATCCTAATGATGGAGTGAGCTAGCTTCTATGTATGGAAAGGAGCGAAACTACTACTAGTCATGTCGTTCCTGCAAACGACTGGCTTTGTAATGTAGCCGACGCGCAGATAGTTCATGAAGAAGCATTTCGCCACATTCTTACTATACATGTACCGTGCCAAACTGTGTGTATTGTCAATTCTGTTAATTGCCCTGAAGGGGAGGGCTATGTGCTTTTGTCTAATAGATCCGAGCACGGGCGGCTCGAGGCAGTATTCGGCGCAGGTTAGCGGCAGAGTCCACCGCAATCTCCATGGTCGATTTACTATGCCATAGATAAATGTAAGGGTAGATTGGACTCATACTTATGGCGAGAGAGCGGTAGAGTATTCGACACCACACCGCTCCAGGCCGAGACACCCGGATACGCCCTGGATCAGAGAAAAGGCCCTGCCACGCTGGCCTGTGGATTCGTTACACACGTGGGCTCCCATGCCGTAAAGGAAACGCATTTTCAATGGTCCGATCCGAATGTTGCTAATATCTGTGCTATGGGTTTCGTGGAGAAGCCTGCGCTTCTCTTGCGCATTATGATCATTATTTCTTCTCAGCATTCAGACAAAGCTTGCCGTAGTATTCTGGTCCAGTACAATCACGAATAGCAGTTTCTCGTTGGGTGAGATATCGCAAGTCAATAAATGTGGCACTACTGTGCGTATCAACCGCTAAGGATCGTACTTCAATAGCCGCAAGCAATCTTTGATCATTTGTTACATGTGTGCGATTCTTGAGCACTACGGTAGTTTAGCTTTCTTGGGAGTTTCCTCACTTATACAGACCGAGTACGAGCTTAGTGGGGCAGGCAATACAAATCAGCTGCAATGATGGAAATAATCAAATCTTTAATCTACTCGGTAAAATGTGGTGGCTCGCGACAATAGCCAGTCGGTTCAGGAGAACCATCTCGGCACAGTTCATATACCAGTCATAGTTTTCCGTCTGCACAGCTAAGGGAAGCATAGATAAAACACGAAGACCCCAATGCAACAACAAATCATACATCGCTCGCCATGGCATCAGCTTGGCATCGAGTCAATCGACCTTGTCCAGTGACCGTCCTATCCAGCATCGATGATGAGCGTGTTCATATTCTGTTGGTTGAGCTGGTGATCATACCTCAAGACCAGTGCAAACTGGTCTTGGTCTGATATACATGGTTCGGCATCCAAGTAATCCTCCAGTCGCATCACTGCTGCCGACGTAGGGGTCGGCCGGTCTTCTGGCCCTCTGTAGCTTTGTTTGAACCCTGCCTGGTCCCCTTCTGGATCTCACTTTCGACGATTGCCAATCGACCAAAAATGTCGGCCAGATCGTTGCGAATGGTTTCATTCCAGGTGGCTTGGCCCTGCGATGAGCGCTCAATAGACCTGCGGAGACAGTTAGCGCTTTACACTGTCACTCAAGATGGACTACAACTGACCGCATCCGGTTATCTAGTCTGGATGTTATTAGCAGGCCAATCATGATTATGTGCTTGATGGGATTGTACTTACTCCGTCAGGCATTCCAGAGCAACCGAATTGCCATCTCCGGAAAGCTGAGTCTGCCTGCGTGGTTCCAAGTCACTTTGGTGTCCACAAACAGTCTTCCGCTGTCGTACAGCTTCTTGCTCACTCTCCTCGGCTGAGGTGCTATTGTCCTGGTCGCCAGAGTCGTGTTCCTCCTGAAAAGTTGACTCGTCCTCTGTGGTATCGCCTGTAGCGGACCTGGACGGACTACCAGTATCTTCAGACTCAGAGGGCGACAAGGACAATGCACGTTGCAATCGGCTTCGAAAGTTTTGTCGTCGAGGGGTGTGCGAGACTTTTCGAATTCCGCCCATACTTGTGTCTGAGTCACGCTGGGGTGACGAGTGGTCCTAGTTCTGATTTCCTGTGATAGGAGGAGGCGCTCCCGCTTTATAGCATGTTGTATTCCAGGACCAGATTTGAGTGTTTACTTGCTCGCAATTGAGGAGGGGATTGCAAGCGCACGCATTTTTCACTCCTACTTTCTACCCGTAGATATCTATTTCAAATACTGCACATTTTGAACAATGACTCACTAAGAGGCGGGTCAGACAATATAATTCAACGAATTGGTGAAACAATGGGGAAATGTCAACAAGAACGGGCTCTTGTAGCCGCGTTCAACGTTGTTGATCCTCAACGAACATAGTGCATCAAAATATGAGGGCTTTTTGGTCTTCAGAACCCTGAACTGGTGCAAGTCGTGAGAGTCTGATACCAGCTCACCAGGCTGGGCCAAAGCTCATAAATACACAATAGTCGGTTTTTACCTGCCACACCACACTATAACCTTTTAAACTCAACAACCTTACACCTTCCAAATCACTTTCTGCTGCTTTGTTCACCCGTTCTGACCACTTCCGCAACTTGCCCGAGCATCACCATGTCCCCACGTAGAGCATACGGCTGGCCAGAATGGGAGGAGAAAAATCTTCTCCCATGGTTGGATGCCCATCCGGAGCTGTCGTGGAAAGCTCTCTCCGACGCATATTATGAAGAATATCAGGTGCATCGAAGCGTTGAATCTTTACGAGGGAAAAAGTACCATATTCTGCGGAAGCAGAGTCGCACTGGCGCCAAAGCTTCCCAAAATCCAGACAAACCAAAGCGAGCCGTTGCCGTACGACGCTCCGTGGTCGATTGCGCTTCACAGTCGAATCTTTCAGCCAAGACCCCTGCCCAAAGGAACATCGACAAATGGTTCCAAACAATTCTAGCGGCCGACCCTAACCAGCCTGATGACAGCAAAAAGCCAACTCAAACGAACTCAATTTCAGGTACGAAAACACTTAATCGTCTCATATTACATGCTGACCCTTTGTCACAGACCGCTTGACGCCAGCACCGCTTCCGAGCCGGCCTAAAAGAACACGGTCGTCATCCTGGAGGTGGGACTATGTGCATCGTGTCTGTGCTGCTAGGAAGCTGAGATACCGGCGAACAGAGCGTCCACTTTAGCAGCATTCATCGGCTGGATCGCTACATAGCGATGTCCAAGGAACAGTGGCCAACTATCTTGATAAACAAGTCCTAGTGCATGTCCCTACATCAAAGGCGGTGATCAGCAATGAAGCGTCAGCATGAGGAATATAAGCGTAGTTGTATATCGTTCCATGTATTCCGTAGAGGAAGTAGCAATCGCCCTTTGGAATGACAATAATATAGAGGATGTCCCAAAGTCAAAGGACTCGAGCACGATGGGGGTGCCCTTGCAACAGGCCCGTCTACACATTTTCATCCTTGTCATGCAAAACTAGGAGGATTTCGTCGGAGTGTTACGTGGCCCGGTAGGTACTGCGGACAGCGTATAAGGATTCACGATACTATGAGTGTTCCCGTAGGGAGACAGGACATGGTAGCAAGGGGGCTCTGGGAAAATGGAAATATGGCATTCTTGTCGGCTCAAGGTAATACGTCTGCTTGGATTTAATAGGATCGATGGTCGAAAGCAGGGTAATCTTTGGGGTGAAGCGTACGATTTGTTTTGACCTAAACCCAAGTCAGAGGAAATTAGTTTGACAGAGACCGTGGAATCACGAGGGCAGCTGACGATCATTAGCGGAACCGCGAATCATTCGACTGCATAGTTTGGACGACGAATGGAATCGCCTGCTCGGTGAGAAAATGCGGTGGGCATGTAGGATTCAGGCCCGGGCTTCTGCCCCACTTGCTTTCTAGGTTGCTCGTGATTAAGCCCTACAGCCTAAAAGAGAAGCCCAGAGAATTGGGGCAGATTCACGACAGTCTCGACCTGTTCATGTACCGGGAATTGAACGACCAGCAGTGTACTAGAAAGATTCTCTCTCGCTACAGTCGTAATCAAGATGCGGAGGGTAATTGAGATAAAGTTTAGGGGCCGCAGGAGGGCCGGCCCACAACCTCAACCCATTTCCGGCAGCCAATCGGTTCCTCGGTTTTAGTGCAAAAACCGGAGATATTTTTACATAAGCTCATGAGATCTGTCCATGATTGGCATAGTTTCTACCAGCTATCCGCTAGGGATATGGGACTGACAATTGAACTAGGCAGATGGAGAGGATTTGTCGGCCTCAAAAAGAATATACTCTCTATGGGGAAGGTCTATGCAAGACAGAAGACATAGCTTCTAGAACGTTCGACAGACCTGATAGACAAGGAGCAACTTGTCACTTGACAGGAGAATTACTCTCCTGTGACAGGAACCAGGAAAGCATAACCACGGATCGGGATTTAGCCTACCATTCTGTTGCCAGAATTCCGCGTGATATTCCAAATA